CCACAGAGCTAGCGAGGCTCCCTCCCTCCTGGAGATCAAGAGATAAAGAGACAGGACCTGGACAAACCTAATAAACTGAGTAAACTGAAGACCAGGTGAGATGTGCCTCACGGGAAATTAGAGTGTGGAAGACAGAGAACCAGGGAGTCCGCTGGTGACAGGATGTCTGGCAGATGCAGGGGCAGTGGTAAGCTGCATCTTCATGCATCTGCCTCTCCTGTCCTTTCACAGAGGCTTCCTGAGCGGCCAGAATCTCCTGAGGTCTTTGCTTTGTTGTCCTATGAGCCCCACCCAGGCTGCCGCCCACACTGGCTGCTTTTGTTCTCCTCCTATCACTTCCATCTTTGTGGCAAGATCCTCCATCTTCAGGATAAGACCCCGAAGGGAAGAGGCTGATTACATCCTCCCACCTGGAGGAGCCTCAGCCACTTTGTTGGGACAAGCAGGGGCTTGGAGGAGGGATTATTCAGTCAGCCTCAGTCTCGCCCACCAGGACCAGGGCTACATTTCTTGTTTCCTGTCCCCTGACAGCGTTGGTGACAGCTTCATGCAGCTCCCGTGGGGAGGATGTCACCTTTCTGCCCCGTTCACATCTTTCTTACGCTTCCCTGACCATTTCTGCCTTCTTAGCACCACCCCCCAGAAAACAGGCCATGGGGGTCTCCTGCATGGGTGGGCTAGGAGATGGAAGGGTGCACAGAGCAGAGGCGTAGAGAGCTGAGGTCAGCACCTCGTCACCCCAGCAATTGCATCAGGAACTGGCCCTACCCTACGTTTTTTTCCTGTCCATCAATTGGAGCCTCTTGAATGGTTCTGCTCAGCCCTCTTTCCTCCTGGAACTTTGAAAGCTCAAAGAACTACTCACTCTCTGCCAGCCCTGGGGCAGGGGGCAGCATCTGGTCTACACTGCCCACAGGCAGGGTTGAGGCAGGTTAACCCCTGCCCTGCGGAGGCCTGTGCCTCCGCTCTGTTCTTGGTCCTGCTGTCCGACCTTCCTCCCCTGGATACTGGGCTCCTGGTTGTGGCATCGTGGCCCAGCCGAGCACATGGCAGATGCTGGTGGGAACAAACAGCAACAGGGGACAGGAGTGAGCAGAGGCCGGGCTAAGACGAGAGTATGTATTCTACTGCATCCCACATCCTGTGTCAGCGCCCCATTCCTGCTGCCTTGGAAGGTGACGGGGTCTTTGTGGGGGTGGCTAAGTTTAAATGAGACCACTTGTCCCGGAAGCTGGACAGTGGCTGGACAGGCCCCTGAACACCTTGTAGCATCAGAACCAAGGTCCCTGAGGAACAGGGAGCTTTCTGGCCCCAGATCCGGTCAATCTGCTGCTGCCACCGCTCCCCACGACTGACCCTCTGGGCATCTCTCTGTGTAGGCGTCCCTTGCTCCACACCGGCACCCCCCTGTGACCCCCATTCTGTTCCCAAAACCCTGCTGCTTTGCCCTCATTAGCTGCTCTGGATCCCATTTTTAGCTGTTTTATTTCTATACTACTGAAACGTCAGCGGGTTTTGCTTCTTCTTGAACCTGTAGCCCCGGCAGGCCAATTATTTCCCACTGCAACAAGGCCTCTTCCTCTCCGGGAGCCGTGCATAAGGAGGTGCTCCCTTTATTTAGGGTGACTTAGTGGGAAGTCCTGCCCTGTGATGAGTTACAAGGATAGACACGTGTGTGTGCACATGTGAGTGTGCACGAGTGTGTGAACCCTGTGTCAATGAGGATTTACACATGTGAACAACCAAGCCAGCAGCACCGGTCCACCTCTGGGAACTCACCCCCTGGAGTAGAGATGACTGCGGGCTGGGGTGTCTCAGCCTCCTTCTGAATGGTCCAGAAAAGGGTCTTAGCCCCTCTGGGCCTCAGTTTCTCCATCAGAAACCATTGCCATCTCAGATACAGAGTGCAATGGCCCCATAATAGCTATCAACAATGCAGTCATTGTCCCCGCCTCTGCTACTTCCTCCCTGGAGCCGCCAGGGCAGGTGGAAGAGGCCTGACCACCACACACCAGAGGAAGTGAGCGTGGCCCCTGGGACCGTGGTGCAGTCCACAGACTGTGTGTCATCTTCATCCTAGGACAGTGACAGCCACCAGGCCAGGGTGCAGAGCCAAAGCTCCCCAAAAGGGCACACGCCTGACATCTTGCCTGATACCAGTGCAAGTGGGAGGCATCTGTTTCCTGCTGTTTCATACCAGGATGCTAATTGTCACCTTTATGTTCTGCATTACCAGAAGTTTCCCTAAGGGCAGGTGTTATTTGCTTTTGTGACCTTTAAATGGCCCAATTAAAGCTTATGTTGCTGGAGAGGAGAGCAGACCTACATGACACTATGAGGCCCACATTTGGGGTTAGCCTGAGGAGGGTGCCCCGCCCCTCCCCTGCCACCCAAGGTGACACCTGGGAGGGGCTCTGCCCTGTGCCCTGAGATCACAGACCAGGAGGCATGGGACAAGCCTGCTGCTGCATTTTGCTGATGAGCAGCTGCCCAAACTGCAGCTGAGATCACTGCCCTGAGGGCTCCTGTACCAACAGCTGCTCACCACTGGCCCAGAGCTAGTTCAGGGGTCCCTCCTCCGTGCTGAGAACCCTAGAAGGCAGGTAAGTCCCCAAGACCTGTCCTTGGTACTCACAGCATGACCAGGAAAGGGAGCCCATGTTCAAGGGCCAGAGTGCCCTGCAAGGCTCCCCCCAACCCCAGACTACAAGCATGTGTCCCCTGTGGAGAAAGAGAGGACAAGGAACTGAAGAAGAGGGAACACACGGCCTTGGGAGGGCCTGAAGGGCCTGTGGACCTGGAGGCAGAGAGAACTGGTCTCAGGGTAAGGAACTCAGGAGCAGCAGCAGAAAGTGGGGCTCTGCCATTGGAGATGAGGCTTGCAGGATCCGGTTGGGTACCAGACACTGTGAACTTTGAAGATCATCCCAAAGACAAGCTCTGAAGGAAGCTCACTGGGCATCTTTGTAGGTATGTGTTGGCCCTCACCGGCACTTTATTTTGAGCTCCAGACAATGAAGAGTTCCAGCCATGGCTCCAGCTTGGCTGCCAATCTCTGGTGACAGTGGTCACAGCTGTGCTTAGCTTCTCCTTTCTCTTAGGATACCATAAGATTGGGAGAGTCAGTTGCAACGTAAGGCCAGCTGGAAATGTCCGTGGCCTTCCTGTATATGTTGGTTACTTTTCCTTCCCTCCCAAATGAAGGAAGGAAAGGTTTATTTAGAGTTCGCAGTTTATGGAGATTCTAGTCCATAATCAGCTCTAAGGCAGGGTGTCTCATGGCAGAGGCAACAGTTCATGGTGGCAGAAGATAGCAGAAGCAATAAGAGGAGCGTGAGAGAAGGCTCTTTATGACCTTTATATTGTATGTAGTCCACACCCATAATATGGCCATAATGGACCATGAATCAATGACAAATTCTAGAAGCCTGTCCTCATGACTGCATGAGGATTTGGGGGGACATCTAGACAAAATCATAGCTTTCCTTCCTGCCCCCTGCAACACTCATGCACTTCCTTATGCAAAAGACATTTAGTCCAGCTCCAAAAGTTGCTGAAGTCTTAGGAGGATTGCTGAAAAGTCCAAATCCAAAGGATTTAAGGCAAACTCTCAGCTGTGAGCCCCTGTAAAATGAAGATTCAACACTTCCAACATTCAGTGGCACAAGATAAACATTACCATTCCAAAGGGTACAAACAGGGGGATACAGGATTGGGACCAAAGCAAGTCCAAAATCTAGCAGGGTAAATATGGAGTCCTGGAGTTCCATGTGGAATATCCAGAGCAATCTGTGAAAAGTTGTGAACTCCAAAAGTCTTGCATGAGTCTGCCGGTAAAGCACTTCTGCTGGCTCTAGCTCACAGGGCTTCTCTCTTAGGCCCACTTTGCTCCCTTTGTGCAGCTTGCCTTAGATGATTCACATTTTTGGCTTCTCCAAATTTCTGGGTCTCCACAGGACCTTTGGCTTTACTCTCACAGCTTCACACATTGCCCTCTCTGGGGCACACTGCCTAGCCTCCCATGTCTTCTGAGTCCTGAGTGGAAGCCTTTTAATCTCAAAGACCTTTAAGTGCATTCTGTATGCACTTAAAACCAGCACCACATGGATGATGCCAAGGCCTGGGCCAGCTGGAGCAGTAGCCAGGCTTCCTTCTTTCTTGGTTGTAGCAGTTGAGTGCCTGAATTGCTGGGCACTCTGAATCCAATTCCAAAGAACAAATTCTCTAGGCTGCTGTTATGTTGGAGCCTGCCATAGTCTCCACCACCATTCTGGAACATGATGCTCTATGGCTTTCTCTTGAAAGCAAAGTCTTTCACTTTTGCAGTCTTGAAGCTATAAAGGAAAGAGACTTGCTACTTCTTGTGATGCCTTCAGGCCATTTTTCTATTCTGTTTCTTCTTAACAATTGAGATCTCCTCAGCTCTGTCTTTGCAGTCCACAATCTTAATGGAGCTTCCTTCTAGCCAAACTTACAGTGTTTTAAATCATTCTTCTGGGCTCTTTGCTCTTGATCCTCAACATAAATCTGGCTAAAAGCCCCCAAAAGTAGACAGGCCACTGCCTCAACATGCAGCTATCTTGAAATTTCTTTTGCTAGATTGACTAGTCCACCATCCTTAATCTCAGTGCTAGGCAACATCTCTAGATATGAGCAAAATGTAGACAAACCTTCCACCAAGACACAACACCCGCTGTCTGAACTCCAACACCCAACACAGTTCTTCTTCCCAGCAGAAACCTCCTGATCCTGGACTTTACTGCCAGGATTTCTATTAGCTCTCCACTCCTCTGAGTTCTGACCAGAATCTCCCATGCAGAGCAGTGTAAGGTGTTCCAGCTCTACTCTTTCAGGCTACAATTCTTCTCACAAGCCACTCCCAAAAGCTCCTGAACCATATTGTCAGATATCGTCACAGCATTGACCCCATTTCTCTGGTACTAAACTCTGTATTGATTGCTTTTCTCTCATTGTTGAGACAAAATACCTGATGCTCAAAATTAAGAAAAGAAAGATATATTTTGCTCATAGTTTGTGAAGGCTTCAGTCCATAATCCACTGGGTCCAAGGCAGCCTCATGACAGAGGGCAACAGTTCATGGTGGCAAAAGATAACAAAAGCAAAAAGAGCCAAAAGGAGGAGGAGCACAAGAGAATACTACCCACCCTAAGATGGGTATAGCCTGCACACCCATAATCCCAGTGTTGAACCACCAATCAGTGACAAATTCTAGAAGCCTCCTCCCTGACTGCATGAGGCTTTGTGGGGGACATTTGGACACAAGCCATAACATTGTACATGGGGACATTTAGCTGAAGGGGCTAAATGTAGGGATGGGGTTCCTGGGCCCCTGGCAAGGACAGGGACTCTAGGATATGCTCTCCCCTTGGAATCCAGCAGAATATTGCAGCTGGATGCTCTGTCCCCTCCTCTCCCATTGGCAGAAGCCCAGGGACATCCTTTTGATAAGGCTAACAAAAACCCAAAACATGCCATTTCCTGAGCTCTGGAAAGTTGCAATGGGAGAAGTGGGGCAAAGTGGGAAGCTGAGGCCTGTAGAGCCCCTTCACGGTGTAATAGCAGGAGCAGCAGAGCAGGGAGCAGCCTCTTAATGTGTCTCCACATCCAAGTCCTGTTGACAGAGCCCCTGGTATACCTGTAAGCCAGACAGAGTGTCACCATGACATGCGGCAGAAAGGTCACCCTGCCCTGCTTGTATAGCACAGCTCTGCAGAAAGGACCTAATTACTAATTAAGACCCTGGCTTCTGGAGTTGGAATACTAATCCCTGCAGCTGTATGGGCCTTAATGATATGTCCCCTCTGCATGCTAAAGAGCAACACTGTCACCTGAGGGATGGATGGACGTGCTGGCTTTCCTCAGGGTTTGTGGCTGCAGCCTGGATGCAGCCCTCTCTTCTGCTCCCCAAGCCTCTGGGAAGGGAGGTGTTTTCTCCACTCTTCCTGGGGTGTATTCCTCCTCCATATCAGGGTGACTGGGGAGTCAGGGAACACACAAGGCAAGAAACCCTGGCCAGCTGCAGGACTTGCTGAATACATGAGGAGTATGGTTCCCAGCCATGCAGCAGAGCCACAGTCGTGGGCCTCTGCTCCTTACTCAGGCCTGGGCGTGTCTGTGAACCATTGCTTTTCATCCTCTGCTCTTCCCTTTTCCACGTGAAGCTGGAGCGCATGTGACCTACTTTCTCAGTGGATGGGCAGCCTCTGGGATGGCCCTAGTCCCACTTTTGGCATCACAACCTCACAAGATCTTGCCAGTGAATGCTACACTTCCAATGAATGGATGACACATGGCCAAAGAGTGGCCTGTCATTGACAAGCTGCAGGTCGGGTTATAAAGATACCCTACCTTCTCTTTTGCTTGTCCCTTCTTGCTCGATTGCTTCATCTCTGCTCTGCAGTCTTGGCCCTAGAGAAGCAGCTGCCACTGTCACATGCAGCCCCAGAAGGTATGGAGGAGCTCATGTAGCAGGAAGCAGATGACCCAGCCAGCAGCTGAGTGTGTGAGCTTGGAAGTGAATCCTCCTTAGTCCTGTCAGGAGGTGACTAAAGTCCCAGCTGAAATGTTCATCACAGCCTGGATGGGGGTTCTTGGAACCACAAGTACCCAACACAGCTGCATGAGACTCCTGTCCAGAGGAGTAAAGAAATGATGTCTGGTTACTGTTTTAATATCTCATCTTTGGGATAATTTGTCACACAGCCACAGATAGCTAATGCACTTGAGGTTTCGGACACAGAATATGGACAAGGGAGTAAGACTCACCGGATGGAGAATACACACCACTCACTGATGGAGAAGGCCTTCTCATCCCCTTCTGGGAAAAGGGTCCACGTGCTTTCAGTTTCACACGGACAGTGCATCACATCAGGGAAAGGCAGGGATTTTACCCTTGTCTTTTTCTACTCTGTAATTCTTTATTAAAAAATAATGCTGTATACACAGAAACTGAAAACAGGGTTAAAAATGTGTAACACAGATTGGGATCGTGACATTAGAACATAACAGATTGGTGCTTTTTAGGGAAGCTGTTGACATCCAAATAATGGAACACAGTTAAAAGCAAAGTACAAAGGAGACTTCACTGCACCTTCCTGTACAATGAAGCAAATACAGTAATAATTTAAAACAGGAACAGGAGAGTGAAGTGACCATCATTATGAATTCAAAGATTGTCCTTCCTGTACTTTTATGTGTTATAACAAGGCATGGAAAGTTTACATCCTTCATCTGCCCAAGTCCAGATAATAAAATATTCCTATGGACTAAAGACTAACTTTTAAATAGTCTCTTACATGGAATTGCACCATGAGAAAAAGCTCCCCCAAAAAACTCTAAGCAGAAGTGAAAGTTGTTTTGAAATCTATTCCCAACTGAAAAAAATACTAAATGCCAAATAAATAGAAAACAGAGTTTAAAATTATGAGTTCATTGACAGCAATTTATTTCTTTTTTGAAAGACAAAATGGACTCATGAAGACTACCATCCATGCACCTTTTATATTCAAACCAAGTACTGAGTTATGAGGAGTTAAAGCAAGCTAGTGCTTACGATGTACTCTTGGGTTTATTTGGACGCAAGTATATTTAAATGAGCCACATAGGGACACCAGGTGGGTAAGGGGTGACTGTGCTGGGTTTACATTCTGTCAACCCATGCAAGTATGTACTCAGAGTCCCTCTCCTACATGACCTGGGCCGTTTGGGCCAGGAGTCACACTGTGTGGTGTTGTGGAGGCCCTGGGGCATGGGGTGGGAAGAAGACAGCAGCCAGCTGCACCCATGTTTGGTGGCTGGGAGCAGAACATTGAGGTCTGTCTTTGCATGTACTGTGTCCCATGGTAGTAGTCAGGTCCCACAGTGACTCTAATCCATGTCCTCCAAAGCATCTCGGGCCCTGAGGAGGGTGCTGTGTGGTTCCCTGTTGAGGGTCTATGCTCCTCCAGCATTAAAACTGGTGTCAGTGCAGTGAGACTGCCATGAGGGGGCCACTTTCCTTGAAGTATCCCAGTGGTCCCTGCATTCTCCGCATGATATGCAGTTCTCTGCCCTAACCACCTGGCCTGCCTATCCAGGTACTGGCAGCAAGCACCAGAACAGGATCCTCTATAATATGCAGCCACCCTGCTACACAGCAGGTGACTCTTGCAAGGCATCCCACGAGTGTATCTCTGTGTTACACAGTATCTGCCTCTCTGATCAGAGTCTGATCCAGAGATCTGTCCAATGAGACAGCTCCCCAGGATAACAAAGACCCCTCAATGGTATACAGGTCCCCAGAACAATGCCACCGTCTCCTAGCCTGCCCAGACTTCCCAGGAAGAGTCATATGAGGACATCCTTGACCTTCATAGAAGCTGACTGTCCCCTTCAGAATGTAGACTCTCCCTTGTCTCCAGAGGGTTGGGTGCCCTGGGACTGGGTTCATGGCACACACACTGACACATACAGATATACAGATACACAGGCACACAACACTCAGAGAAGCTGGGGGAGAGAGAGAGAGGGAGAAAGAGCGGGGAGGTCTTCTGCTGTCCTGTTTTAAATTTTTAACCCATGTCAGGGAAAAATGGTACCTCGAGAAGAAAGGTGATAGTCTTATTTTTCTAGTGGTTCTTTGGAGTTTTAAAAGGAGAAAGGGTCTTAACATGGCACAAGTGGCCTAAAGCATGGAGGACAGCTCCTTCCACACAAAGGTCAAGGAGAGAGGCCATTGTACACAGAACAGCAGGCTGACCAGGATTCTAGCTGTGCTAGGACCAGCTGCCCAGGGCAGAGAGCAGAGGCTGCAGCCTGCCCTGTGGGCTGCATCTGCAGGGACAGCTCCTTGGGAGCTTGGAATAATCACCTTGCAGGACTCATCAGCCAGGCAAGTCCTGCTTCTCACGCTGACCAGGATCAGTTTCATTCATACCTCAACAGGACAGTACATCTCTGTTTTCGATGCTCTACAGGACACCCCTGTAATTAATAGAGTGGCATGAATCTGAAGGATTGTTTAAAGACTGGATTGACAAGGGAAATAAGTATTAGGGTGCAAACTGCCACCTTTGTCTGGTGCAGTCTCTCTCTGGCTACAGGAGCTGGAGTTTGGGGACCTGGCACTGCTGGTTCAGTTCCACTGACAGCCTTGCTCCAGTCCCAGATCCAGAGCCACACAGAGGATGGACGAGGGTCAGAGTGGCATCTCCCTTCTTCTATCTGGCCAGTTGACTCTCCTCTGCTCTCCAGCATGGGTCCTGGGCACAGACTAGGCATCTATGGGCATGTGGCAGAGTCCCTCCCTATGCAAGCTCTCCAGCTACCCTCAATCAGCCAGGAGAAGTCTGTGACGCTCTGACCTAGAAGACAAGAACCAACCACTTCTTCCTCAGGCCCTACTGGGCCACAGAAGCAGCGCTCTGACCATCCAGGCACAAGCACCCGACGGCAGAGCTTCCTGTTGCCTCCTTTAGTCTTCCTCTCCATGCCAGACACATGGTTGGTGCTCAATGCATATTCACTTTGCAAGCATTTTAGTGAAACCTCTGCTGAGTCTGTGTTGCTCCCAGCCTTCCTTTCTCCCCCATACTTGGTGGTTGCTAAATCAGAATGCACCCTACCTTATCCTGCCCGCCCCCCCACCTGACAGCATCTTGGAATAAGCTGCAGGTCCCAGAGGAGGAGACTCTGAAGCATTTCCTGTACTTGCTCCTTGGCTGCTTTAAGATTTCATTTGACTGCTGGGTTAGAGGTTGTGTGCCTGGGAGGCTTAGGCATAAGATGCCACTGTTTGGTCCTGAGAAATCCACATTAGCTGACAGGTTAGGAACTAATCAGGAAGGAGCTGGTAGGTTTTGTTCAACACCCTGAAAGAGTGCTCAGAGAAAGGGGGATGGAGCTGGAAGAGACAAAGAGTAAGGGTTCTGAGCATTCACGGTTACTCAGGGGTTGCAGAGACAGCCGTAATAATCACAGTGCCCATGCCTACCTAAATTTATGCTCAATGCACAAGGGCTGAAGCTTTCCGTCTAAGACCAGGCCCACATCCAGAGAGTCCTCAACTTCTTCTATTTGAGATTGAGAAGAGGGTCAAGCCCAAGTGATTAGGTGAGAAAAAGAAGCAAATGACCCCAGATAGGAAAAGGTAAATCATCTCAATCTGTAAGAGGCATGGTCCCCTCAAAAACCCACTAAGAAACTCTTAGCAAATAAATGAGCTAAGCAGTGTGGCAGGATACAAGATCAATGTACAAAACTTCTGCCTACCTCTATATCCTTGTAATAGGTCATCCAAAACTGAAATTCTGAAAATAATTCCACTGATGGAAACAGACAAATAAAATACCTTCCTGAGGAAAAACTGAGTAAAAGAACTTCCAGACCTGTACATTGAAAACTACAAACCATTGCTGACAGGAATTGAAAATAATGTAGTGAAGAGGAGAGACCCCACATTCTTGAGGGGTGAGTTGCAGGGGTTCAGAGGGCAGCATGCCCCTCAGTCACCCACAGAGCTGATGCTATCCCTCTTGAATTTCTAGCTGATTTTTTTTTTTTGTTGTTAGATGGGCTGATCCTAAAATTCACATAGAAACTCAAAAGGGATCCAGAATAGCTGACACACTTTTGGAAAACCAGAACAAAGTTGGAGGCACACGCGTCCCTATACCAAAACCTGCTGGGAAGCTACGGCAAAGACAGTGCACTGTCCCAAGGACAAACGCAGGGACCGCAGGGCAGGACCACAAGGACAGCGGCACAGCACAGTCAACTGACCTGCAATCAGGGTGCTAAGGTGACCCAAAGTCTTCAGCCAATGGCGCTGGACGATGGATACCCACAAAAGTGACCTGCAAGGGGCTGGGGATTTAGCTCAGCGGCATAAGCACCTGCCTTGCAAGCAGGCGGTCGTGAGTTCGATCCCCGGTACCAATAAAAAGAAAAAAAAAAAAAAAGTGACCTGCAAATAAAAATTTCCTCCAGATGGATCAAAGACATGAATGTAAGAATTAAAATGATAAAACTCTTACAAAAGTTAGGCAATGATTTCTTTAACATGGCATCAAAAGCACACGGAGAGGGGGGAGAAATGGGTAAGCTGAACTTCATTAAAATTAAAAACTGCTTCAGAAAAAGGAAAGTGACAAGATAACTAACAGATCATGAGAAAATCACTGCCAATGTGAGGTCTGACCCTAAATTTATATCTAGAATATATAGAGCATACTCTACTCAGGGACAAAAGAGCGCATTATTTTTTTAAAAGGAAGAGTCCATGAATGTTTATACATTTCTCCAAAGAAGATACACAGATGGGCCACAAGGACATGAAAGAGGCTCAATTGCATTTGCTGACCAGGAAAAAGCAAATGGAAACCACAATAAGAAAATCCTCCAGGAGCTTCCGGGAGAACATGGCGGACAGATAACAGCAACTACCGGAGGCTCTCTGAAAGACTCGGCTCAGAAGCCAGGAATGGTGCGGACTAAGGAGACATAAGCAGGTGGAGATATGCTCCGCTGACTCAGGAACGAACTGGGCTGAGAGAAACCAACTTGGAATGCATTCCTGGTGCTAAAACAGGAACAGAAAAGCCTCGGTGTGGAGGCTGGACCCTGTGCCATTGGAAGCCGCCATTTGGGTTTCCCGCCGCGCGGCGGCTGGCTGCCTCTACAGTGGCTCGGCAAGGAGAGAGACGCGCAGAAGCTCTGAGAACGGCAATCTGCGAACGGCAGGGAAGCGTGCACTGACTTGTGGTGAGGTGAGTGAGAGAAGCTGACACTCTACCACAGTTTGACTCCAGCGGAGGACTTTCTGGGTCCGAGCAGTCCTGCGGGAGCAGGGCGCGGTGGCGACTCCAGCCACACATCCCCCTCTCGGGCGAGATTGGTGAAAAGTGCCTGGCCTGCGTGACGCTGCCGGCGGACCTGGTAGGCTGTCCCAACCCAGATCCCAGAGCCTGACGGTGGCCGGGAGGGGAGACGCGTAGGCTGCCTGGTCCGTAACTCCCTGGTGCGCAGCGGTGAGCGGAAACACCTAACTGGCGCAATTCGATCAGGCTGTGGCTGACTGGGAGAGAAGCTGGGCCTCTTATATAAGCTTGCATATATAAGGAACAGAGAAGAAGAGGCAGCATGGGAAGAGGCAGCAACAAGAAAGGCTCCTTGGCCCCCAATTCTGAGAAACAGGCAATAGCAGACACCGCACCAATATACATAAGGCACCATATAGAGAGCCTCATAGACCAATTCAGGAATGAAGTTATCAACGACCTGAAGCTAGAAGTATGCAGAATAGTTAGAGAAATGCTAAGTACCACCCAAGAAAAAACAGGCGGTGGAATGGAAGAACAGAAAAAAAGGGGAGAATTGTTTGATGGAGAAAACAGAGAAAGCATAGAATACGTGAAGCAGGTTCAAAGGGACTACCAAGATACTAAGAAGTCTATAGAAGACTGGCATAACAGCTTGAAAGAAACTAAGGACAGACTATCTGAACTGGAGGGCAGACTTGTAATATGGGAGAATGAAATGAAAAACTTCTTAAAAATAACAAAGAAACAAACAGCAATAATACAAAGACAAGAAGATGATAAGAGGATCCATAACTTAAGGATTAAGAACATAAAAGAAGAAGTAGGGACACAAACAAGTGAACTACAAAACCTACTCACAGAAATAATCCAGGAGAATTTTCCTAATTTAGCAAAAGGTAAAGATACTCAGATGTATGAGGCATACAGGACCCCAGCTACCTACAACCCAAACAGAGCAACACCCAGGCATATAATAATAAAAATTCCAGAAATTCAATACAAGAACAGAATATTAAAAGCTGTAAGAGACAAGAAACAGACCACTTACAAGGGAACACCCATCAGAATTACAGCAGATTTCTCGGCACAAACCATCAAATCACGAAGAGCATGGGGGGAAATAATTCAAGCTTTGAAAGATAATAATCTCCAGCCAAGATTGAGATATCCTGCACAACTGTCCCTGGAAATTGATGGAAAAACAAGGTGCTTCCAGGATAAAGAGGAACTGGGGGAATTTGCAACCACCAATTCAACTCTACAGAGAGTATTGCAGGATATTCTAAAAAAAGAAAAATACAAAGAATCCAGAAATAATGGCAGAGAGGCCACAACGAATGGAGCAGAGAACAAAATGAAGAAGACAAACTGACAGCTACTGACAGAAAAAGAGCTCAACAGAAATGAGGCAGAGAAGATTGGATGATAGGAACAGCTATTTTGGAGAAAATGACATCTTAATAGGTAATACTGATTTAGTATCATCTTGTTTTGAAGTCTCATCTAGCTTTTGTCCTCTGTCTCCAATGGTCTAAATAGGTGGTATCTTACTGGATTTTATTATGTACGATAGTATAAGCAAAAACCTTGTAAAGACAAGGAGATTATACAGAAACCATTATTCATTTTCTGTTAGTCGATTCTAAATACTCTGTAATGCTGTCATTCTCTTGAATGGTTTTACATTGTTTTGATATACTTAATGCTACAGTATACGAAGTTGTACTCAAGGATTTCAAAGAAAGAGACAATATGGTAACTACTTTTAGGTTAGGATTATCTGGTGGTGAAACACTATTCTGCTTAAATGGTTATGTTTTGATCTGCGCTGTTTCGTTGTTATGCCCTCTTTTATCTCAATCTCCACTCCATTATTTACTTTTTTATCTTTATCCTTTTAATTAAAGGAAAAAAATAGCAGGATATATTATAGTAACCCACTTTGACTTTTCATTACCTTGATTTAAAGCCCTGCATTACTCTCACCATCTGGTTTTTAACTGATGTTCCCCTATTCTGTTTTGCTGGATAGTATCAGGTTCGAAAGTTTAGGCATCAGCTGTGAAGATAATGAGATTCATTATGATGCCCATTTTTGTTGACTTTTATCTACTTTTGAAG